GGCGCATGTATTCCCTCCCCGCTATAACATCGGGTCCTTCAAACGTAGTGTGAAGAAGCATTTGGCCAGACCGGCAAAATGATAGTGACGGAGTGAAGATATTTGTGTTTTCCATCCGTTACTCTCATCTCTGGACTGTATTCGCACTTTCCATCAGGCGCGGTGCAGTCATTTTGCCGAGTCACAATAAAAATAAAAAAAAATTACTGGCATATTTGGTAAACCTATCCTTCATGGAGGGTATATTTCCGTCGCCTCTTAAGTGCTCCATAATAAAACCGCTGTTTAAGAGGGGCGAAAAAGACAATTTGGGAAACTACAGAGCTATTGCACTTATATCTGTAATATCAAAGCTTTTTGAAAAGGTAATGCGTAAAAGAATTACGGCTTTCCTATCAAAGTACAACATTATTAAAGTAGAGCAATTTGGATTTCAAAAGGGAAAATCTACCACACAGGCATGTTTCAGGGTAATCAAAGATATCTCAACTGTTGCAGATCAGAAAGTACCTGTCTGTTCTGTTTTATTTGACATGAGTAGAGCTTTCGATTGCGTTTGCCATAGAACTACTATCCAAATTAGAAAGATACGGTTTTCGTGGCCAGGTGCATAACTGGATAGCAAGTTACCTTAGCAATAGAACTCAGTGTGTAGAGGTTAAATAATAATAATGAGATTGAGACCCACAGATCAGAGTTTAAAGTTAATAAATACGGTGTGCCTCAAGAAAGTATTTTAGGTCCATTACTGATTTTATTGTATGTAAATAACCTCCCTGAAATGGCAAAATATCCATGCACTCTTTTTGCAGATGACAAGTGATGATTGCATTATTAATAAGAATTCTGACATAGATTATGAAAAAGAAATAAATGACACTATATGTAATATTATTGACTGGCTTAACAATGTTTCTAAAAGAAAGAAAATAACATGAGCTCTCAAATTATATTTTTGTAATGTCATTAAAATATGTATATAACCGTCATTGTGAATAAAAACCGCCGAAGTATTTTAATAACCGGCTATCTATCTCACTACCGCTACACATGTCTCCCAACCCTGACATTGGCAAAATCGTCGCGCAAAACGACGGAGCCATAGACACAAAAGTTGAAGTTGAAGTTGAGAAATAATCTGAAAGTAAATGTTTCAAAAACAAAGCTCATACAATTTTATAATTATAATGGAAAGCCCCAGGCACTCTCTGTAAGTTGTCATGGAGATGAAATTGTGGAATGCTCATCCAGCCGTTTTTTCTGCATAGTATTGGACTCTCAACTGAATGGAAATCACAGGTTGATTCAGTATGTGCAAAGCTGAATCGATTTTTATTTGGTTTACATCGTCTAGCGCACATATGTGATCAAAGGACTGCCTTGATGGCCTACCATGCATTTGTCTGCTCAAACTTGCGGTACGGCCTCCTCATCTGGGAGAACTGCGTAGAGCTTAACCGTGTATTTGCTATCCAGAAAAAATGTGTCAGAGCTATATGTAAAGTAGGTCCGCTCGAATCTTGTAGACCGCTTTTTAGAAAGCTAAATCTTCTAACGCTTCCCGCCATGTACGTATATGAGGTACGCATGTTTGTTAAAAAAAACTTGGTCTTATTTACAAAAACTTGGTCTTATTTACTAGGAAACGTGAAGTATGTAATTTTTTAACCAGATATCCAAATCGCTTAACTGGCCCCTCCCATAAGACTACTTGCTTTTATAGGTATTACTATAACATGTCCATATAAATATATAATGCTTTGCCTGCAGTTATCGCAGACTTACCTATAAAAATATTTAAAAAAAAGTTATTTGATTTGCTATGTGATCTGAGTTTATATGATATCAAAGATTTTTTAATAAATAAAAAGAAATTGATATTTTGTTTATATTTGTGCTGTTCTTACTTCTTTGATATCATTTAATTTATGATTTTATTGCTGTTGCTGTATGTATATAATGGCATTTTTACTTAATTTTATTTGACATTGCTTATTTGACAAATTATATAAATTTAATTTATGACATTATTTAACTTCAATTTATTTTAATATTTGCGTGCCAGTATCTGGTGCACCACGTGTTCTTGACACCTTGTATAACATAGATTTAACCTACATGCTAAATCTATGTTGCATAATAATATCCTTTGTTACCGTGTTTGCTTGCGAATAAATATTTCATTTCATTTCATTTCTTTTAAATAACTTAGTTAACTTATTTGGTTTTTTTTTAATTGTCTTAAGCGGCGGGAGTCAATATTTATGTTTTCACTTTCGCTTAAATCGCATTATTTTCTATCACTTTGAACAAAAACTTTGAATTCGTAATTATTGGAATTTTTAGGATGAAGTCTCTTGTAATTTGTTTTAAAATAAGGAATATAATTCTAACATTCTTCATCACTATCTCTTTCCTCGGTTTTTCTTCCTAATATACTTAGAATAAAAATAACCTTTGTAAAAGCTGTATTTGTAACTTCAATAGCCCGCCATTTTCCTCAAAGTTATTCCATTGCTCTCGTTCAGTAACTCCTTCAAAAGCCCGCCAGTTTCCTCATAAAGTTAATCCATTGCTTTCGTTCAGTAACTCCAACTTTTGACAGGTGTCAACATAGTATCTCTTATTAGTTTGTGGGTGTCAACGTCAAATGTGTGAAGAATTTAGAGGAAAAAATATTAAAGAAATATACGGAAAAAATTTTTTTTTTTTTTTCAAAATGGAAATGGAATAAAACGAAACGCATTTTTCCTTTGAGATGGAAAAATAAAGCCTTTTTCTATAACCTAATCCGTCATCCATTTTTAACAGCTGGTGGTTTGTGAACAGCTGTCTATCACAGCTTGTGGGCAGTGTATGTCAAAATAGAGATTTCTTTATGTTGAGTTGATTGAGCTTTAATATAACATTGTATAGAAGAAATTGAACTAATTTACTGTTAAAAAGTACGCAAAGAGAAGAAATAATTTGTTTTTTGAATACAAAAAGATTAATTTATTTAGGACGGTGAGCTAAATATTCATTTTTTTGGAGATTCGTTCAACCTGATTCGGCGATCCAGCCCGAAAGTCTAAGATTCACGTCTTTCGTTAACAACCCGCAGAAAGTTATCCCCGGGTTAAAAGTATCTAGTACTTGCAACAGAAATGAATAATAAAAGTAAAAATAATATACGAATTAAAAAACAACGTAATAGCAAGGACGTTCTCGACGTAGACATTGGTACAATTAAAGTTGAAGTAGACAATGTGTCTGACCTATTACTGACTGCTTCAAAGTATTACAAAGAAGAATTTGAAAGCACTGAAGATACAAAGAAATGTGATAATTCTTCAAAAGAAATTGCAAAGAACAATACACAAACAAAAAAAAATACGAAAAAAATAAAAAAGGAAAGTAGCGATGACGAAATAACATACTTATGTGAGACATGTAATAAATTTTTTTTTACTTGGAATCAATTGAAGAGCCATGAGAAGGTTCATTTAAAAAAAAAGAGAGGGCACTTCCCCTGCCCTAAATGTGAAAAATCATTTACTTACAAGTGTAACTTGGACCGTCACATGAGTCTACATAACAAGACTAAAAATTTTCCTTGTACTTATTGTGATAAAAAATTTAAGAGAAATTACAAATTACTAGAACACATAAGATCGCACAAAGGAATAAAACCATATATTTGTGACGATTGTCAATTGAAATTTACAACAAGATGTATGTTAAGACAACACAATGAGGTACATAGTAAAAAAAGATTTGGATGCAGCGTTTGTGGTAAACTCTTTAGAAGGAAATTCAACTTGATTCAACATGAAAGAAGTCATAGTAAAGAAAAACCATTTACTTGTACGAAATGCAATAAAAAATTTGCTTACAGTTATGCTTTGAAAGCTCATCATTGTTTATTTGAAGATTGAATTTATATTTGGCTCAATTTACACAGCTGCTAAACAGAATGCAAGAGAATTTTTGTAAACGTCCCATAATTAACTTCATGTAACATGTGTAACATATAATTTAGGCGTACATACAGTACAGACGCGCGACCTTTTATTTTTTCGTTTGTATGTATAATAAGATTATTTACTCGCTGCAGTTTGGTCATAACTTATTAGAGCGGGACAGCGATATTTCGCTCTCTCTCTTTCCCAATTACGAGCAGGTACTGGCCTTTTGTTTAGGCACATAGTCATGTATTACTGCAGTCGATAAATGTTATTGATCTAGATAATGTTGAGTTTTGTTGTATAATAGTGTTTTCAGAAGAAAAGTTTTGTAATTGTAGGTAAAAATATTAATTTGTGTTGATTTTCTGCCTTTTATACTTAATCGGGTGAAGATTTGAGGTGTTATTCACCTATACTATGTTACGTTAGGTAAATATAGGTACTTCAACAGTTTCAAAGCTCAGCTTATTAGAAAGCGATATGAAATTTTAATAATAAGTAATTTGTTAATCATAATTTATTTAAGGAGTATTATGTTGAAAAATATAAAAATAACATTTAAAATAGAAATATTAATTAAAAATCCCTTGTTTTATTGTTATTGAATATATTATACGTTTGAAATAATTACACAATGACTAAGTAGACTTTCTAATACAACAACAATAATGCTAAACAACAATAATCATGTAATATTGATTGATTTTTTTTTTTATAATATCAAGTGACGGGACGAACATTTCATGCGCCTGATGGTAAGCTACACGCCTGTCTATAACAGCAGCAGTTATACATATTATATATGAGTCACGATAATTCAGAGGTTGTGCTTTTATATTCATAGCTACATAATAAATATAGTAAAATCATTACCCTTTGGCACTACGGAAAAGATTACAATGTTTCAGTGGCGCCACTTTGGCATGCAGCCGTGCCGCAACTAATTTTCATGTAATATTTAGAAGCGTAGTTGCAGCGCCCTAATAATGAATAACTTTTTTATTTAAAAAACCTATATAAATCGGTTGCCGGAAAGTGCGCGAAACCGGATTCATCCCCTAGTTTATCACCCTTAAAGTTTCTTGCAATTTAAATGAAATACTGAGGTACCTTCTTTCCAATAAAAAAAGAATCATCAAAATCGTTTCACAAATGCCGGAGTAATCGCGTAACCTACGCACATAAAAAGAACTCCCTCCTTTTTTGAAGTCGGTTACAAATTACTGAAAGCTGCGCGGCTGTCGCGCCAGCGCAGCGCCTCTAATTTGAAGGCGCCCTTAGAATGCCTGGTAGACAGTTTTATGATATCAAATCATTGTGTACAAAAGTCTATCTGCAACACATACTAGGTAAAACATTCCACTTATACTTATAAAATTTTCCCTCCAAATCATCTGGTGCACATAAACGAGTGCCATAAGATAGTGATAAGCGCTTATACATAGCTAACATGTCACTTGGAGTTTGTTTGTGACGAACTAACATGTTGTTTGTGCAGCCTCGGGATTTCCATTCCGTGTCGAATCTACTGTCATGGACTCTATCGATGTGGAGAGCGGCTGTCCAGACACCCATTGAAACGTCTTCGGCCTGGTAGCGGCTAAAAAAATGAAAATGGGGAAATATTACCTTATGTTACAAAACATCGTTATTATACTGTATTAACGTACACTGCAGTGGAACACAGTATAATGACATAGATACCATATAGATTTGTAAACCAATAAAAATTCTCCTTAAAATAACGGTGCAATCTAAGAACCAACAGAAAAATGGCTCATTGCATGCTAGCTACATAGTCACACTACTTTGATACCAAATTTCAATTAATTTAGTGTAATAGTTTTCAAACTAGAGTGGTTTTAGTGACTAGAGTAGAATATTTTCAATAAAGTACATAAATAATCATAACCTCTAAAGTATTGATTTTCGCGGAACTAATATTGATTTTTAAATGAGTTATTACAATGTTCTCTATTTAAAAAAAATATTTGGACCACTATAAATAGGCCACCCAGTATAAGGAGCTTATTGTCAAGGTACACATTAACATATCCATACAAAATTTAGTATTACCTCACTATGTTTTCATTAATTATAAATATGATTCAAAATAACTCAAAAACTCATAGCATATGTAAACCGTCATATTTTGATTGCAAGTTTGGTCATGGTGATAAGCTTACCTCAGTATATCAACGTTATGACCAATATAATCCACAATACTCTTCGATATTACGTAGCCTCCGCCCAAAGCGTACGGCAAATAATTGTCGCATAGGAACCAATCTTGCTCCTGCCATTTTCCAGTCAGATGGACATGAGCACGCCCGTTTATATAGCCCCAGTATAGGCCCTTGGTGGTAGGTACTAATTCCTGCAAAAAAAAATAAGATTAAACTTGTCACAAAAGGGTTTTGATAAGAAAAACCACCAAGCCTCTGGCACGCATTACCTTGCAGCTAACATATTCAGAAAAACACATGTCCGGTGCAAAAGCTTCCAAGTCTTTCACAATCAAATCAACTCTGACAAAGGAATCATCGTCACATTTTATCACATACTTCAATTGTGGCAAATTTGTACTAAACCATGTCAAAATACGTAGCACTTTTGATGCTAAATTCTTATAACTATCTTCCAAACCTTCTATGAATATTAAGTCTTTGAAATGGTCTTGTTCAACATTTAACTGCAACAACTTATCCCTGTTTAAGTTTTTAATGCCCACAACGAAGTAGAATTTTATAAATTTTGGAACAATAGCCCCATCATGTAATTGCCATTTGTATAATTTTTCTCCATTCTCTACGAATATATTGCTTGCTAATTTCATCCAAGTTGTTCGTATTGAATTTCTTTGAAGGTCATTGTTTGGACTGCTTAGTATGAGCACTGCATATTCCACCTGAAAAAAAAGTTTTTTATAGCTTCTTGATTCCTAGAAGTTTTATTTACTCATTAACATTTCAGCCAAAAGACATTCACTGTTAGACCTAGCATTCCTTCAAGAATTGTAACAATTACTGGTATTGCATTCTTCACATCCAGTGGATTCCAGCAACCTTTACCAAGCCAGACCACCTTTGTTTAAGTTAAAACATAATATTAATTAATGCAAATTAAAAAATCTATATATCCCTTATAAACAGCAACTTAATTTGATTACAAATTTATGTATAATTGAATTATGGAAATTATAAATACATTTTCTTTCTAATTTTTAATATTGAAGTACTGGTAGGAATTAATATATTCCTAGACACATAATTCCAGCCACTTTGCATTTTCAGTATTCTTCTTTTTTTTACTTATTGGTGGTGCCCTTTTAGGATTTTGCCAGTATCTAATTTTCAGCATAGTAATTTTATGGGTTTCTGTAGGTACATAGTACACCCACAACACAGTGAGTATTGTGGGAATACTGTCAGAGAGATTTATATTTCATGAAGCTGGTTTGAATCCAGCCAGATCAAAGGAATTTTTCATATAATAATTATAACAATTTAGTAAAGTAATTTCACAAAAAATAATATACAATTATGGTAGTAAAACATAATAACATTCAATAAACTTAACAATTACAATTTGGTCTTCTTTTTAATTATTGGCGATGCCCTTTTAGGATTTCGCCAGCATCAAGTCTTCCGCCAAGTTTTTTCATTTTAAAATTATAATTATTAAAGCGACATCCACCAAGCCTTCGACAAGGTTATGACAGAATAGCAGAGGCCGTGGGTTCCTCACAACTGCTGAGTCATAGACCATTTTGTCTTGTTAATTAACAATGTCTCTGATTTTATTATAAAATGTATGACTGTTTTCAAGACAAATAAATGAGTTTACTATTATCTCTAGTCAGCTGCTGGTAGCTGTAAATGTACGTGTCTGAGTGAAGAAATAGATTTCACACAAAGATTGTTCAAAACAAAAAACTAAGATCTGCAACAAGCACACAGAAAAATTTGTAAGGTCTGCTGGTTCGTTCCGTGGCTTAATTGGCAGAGCATCTAGGACGGATTGTTGGAAGGCGCTGGTTCGAATGAATTTTTCTTAGTGTTTGATCTTCGTATTAATAATTATAATAACCAAAGGTTTTCAAATTATACATTATGCATACTGTAGTCAAGATAGTAAAAATAGTATTTAAATGAATTCTTGGCAAACGTTCGCATTGCAATAAACTAATTACATAAGAGTGAAAAGGACACAATTAAATCAACTTACGTTATCATTTTCGCGACTTATCGGTATTGTGGTATCAACACACGATATCCTTACAAAGCTTATGGTAAACAAGGAGCCAAGGTAAAAGAAAAAAACACTCATTAAGACAACTATTTTATACTTCCTTAAAATTAATGTAATCGTCATAGTCTTAACTGATTATTCATACAAAGTACGAAAACAGAAAGATTTCATCGACCCAATGGGACTTTAACGTCATGGGTTAAAGTCCCATATGGTAGAAGAAATTTTTCTTTGTGCTCGATCTTTTGTGTATTAAAAATCGTGGTGTTATTTCACAAAACATTTCATTAATACATCATCATTAATTTATAGGTTTTTCAAATAATTTTCACGAAATACTCTGCTGTACTCAAACCACAGAACACCACAACCACAAACTACTAATACAAGAACCACAACTTTGATGTCAAAAAGCGCGGGAAACCTTTGATTTGGCGGACGTGTTTTTTACTTTCTTATTTTCAAATTAATTTAATTTGGGATCGTTAGTTATTTGTGTAAATTTTTGTATTTACTCTTTCTTTTAGTTATAGTTTATGTAATATTTTTTGTAATTAGTGTATAGTGTTCGTATATAGGTAAGTGAGTCTTTCTTTAATATGGGGGTCGATCCCCCTGATGACCCAGGAGGAGGCTCTGGGCCTCCAGTAGCCTATAATGTTGTTATTGACGACTCATCAATGGACACTGAAGGCAGCCTTCCTATGCCTGACCGTAAAAGAGTTAAACCCCGGAAAATCTGCCGTCATTGTAATAAAAAACGTAGGAAAAGAGATGGCAAACCAGTCTCTTTACACTATTGTCAATGTTCTGAATCTGAAGAAGAATGTTCCAAGAAATTTAAATTGCCTATTGTTGCTGATGCCAATGCTAGCATTGTTGGTGCTAATAATAGTACTAACAATGTTGTAACAAATGTTGGTGATTCTGTTTCAAATTCAAGGCCGCAGGGTGGTAGGAAGTATGAAGTGACAGATTTAGCCCCATACGTAGTACATGTCCAGAAAGAACAAAGTACAGCTGATGATCGTGTTACGCTCCATCCTGTGCAGTTTGGAAACTTTTTAAAAAAGAACTCTGTTAAAAACATTGTAAACGGAAGTTTGAAAAGAATAGGTCGCAACAGGCTTAGTTTGGCTTTCTCTAGTGTTGCTGATGCGAATAACTTTGTTGATGACCCCAGTCTTGCCAGTCACAAATTTAAAGCTTTTATTCCTACTTTCAATGTGACTCGTATGGGAGTAGTGCGTGGTGTCCCTGCCGATTGGACAGATGATGAAGTTCTTGAAAATGTTTCAGTGCCTATTGGGTGCGGTAAAATTATTAAAGTTAGACGTATCAAGCGGAAAACTATTGTAAGTGGGACTGCGATATTTAATAACTCGGAAACTGTAATTTTCACCTTTGATGGACAAGTTTTACCAAAGCGCATTTATATGTGCTATACTGCTTTATCTGTTGAACTGTATATATATCCTACAATACAATGTTATCGTTGTTGCCGTTATGGTCATACCAAAATGCAGTGTAGATCCAAACCCCGTTGCCTAAAATGTGGTGAAGACCATACTGCTGAAACCTGCTCAGTACATGTAGATTATGCTTCTTGTTGCCTATGTTCTGGATTCCATTTTGCAAATAGCAAATCCTGTCCTGAATTTGCCCGTCAAAAAGAAATTAAAGTGTCCATGGCCCAAAGTAGTATATCATATTCCGAAGCATCAAAACATCACCCTCCAATTTCAAGATCTTTTGCTGATGCAGTTCGCTCCTCTCAACAAAAATCTAATGATAGTAGGCTGAACAATAACTACACAGTTTCAGCAGAGGCTCATTCAACTAATAAATCTTATAAAAAAACAGTGTTTGTTCAACCACGGTCCCCTCCTAAAGTAGCGGGTGGGTATGATCGTGCTGCACATGATTCATTTGCAAAGGATTACAACATACCTTTAGCTTTTCCTAATGGTTCAGCACTTAAAGCCTCTTCTGATACTAGTTCACAGACATCTATCTCGGACATTATTATAGCCATTGTAAATTTCTTGACTAAATCAAATATGATTCAGACTAAATTTGAACCGTCCTACGTTGCCAATGTTATTGAAAATTCTGTTTTAATTCGTCCTGAATATGGACCCAGTAATTCTACAGTGGAACTGTAGAAGTGCCTCCAGTAAAAAATCTGACATTTTTTATTTAATAAATGCACTTCATCCCTTTATGCTTTGTCTTTCAGAAACATGGTTGAAACCTGGCTATCCTTTCAAAGTAACTGGTTATTCCACCCTTAGAAAAGACAGATCTGATGGGTATGGCGGTGTCGCCATAATCATTAAAAATTCTTTATCTTACCAACTCTTACAATTACCCACTTTAAGTGATGGCATAGATGCTATAGCAATAATTGTGAATGGTATATGTTTCGTATCTATTTACATTCCACATCCTTCAACAGCTTTATTTAATGAAGTCAACAATTTATTTTCAGTTTTACCAAAACCTTTTTTAGCATTAGGCGATTTTAACTGTCATCATCAATCATGGGGAAGCTCTTCATGTAATAGTTTTGGAGACTTAATGTTAGATATACTTGACTCTCAAAATCTCTGTATTTTGAATAATGGCGCTCCTACGCGTCTCACAGGTCCAGGTGAAGGATTAAGTGCACCTGATCTCTCTGTATCCACGCCTGATTTAGCATCCTCGCTCTCATGGCATTTGCATACTTCTTCCTGTGGTAGTGACCACATTCCTATTATAATTTCATTTCCTTTTATTCGCCATATGCCTACACAAAAACCCAGTCCCCGCATAAAGTATAGATTTCCTCATGACTGGACTGTATTTTCTCAGCGGGTTGAAAATAGAACTTCTTCACTTCCATCTGTTTCTACTCATGATGAATCTCATTGTTCAGATTCTCTTGTTAAAATGCTTCTTGAAGTTGCAGATGAATTGTTTCCCATTAAAAAAGGTTATCCAGATAGACTTCCATTGCCTCCTTGGTGGGATTGTGAATGCACTGAGGCTATCAAGAGACGGAAGGAAGCTGAAAGAATTTATGGTCAGTGCATGACTTCTGAAAATTTTGAAATTTATTCACAAGTCGCACGTAACACCCGTAAGCTTTTAAAAAAAAAGAAATTTGATGGATGGAAGAAGTTCTGTGAATCTATATCTCCTGACGTTAGTCCCGTCTTTGTCTGGGAAAAAATTAGAAGGTTTCGAAGCGCATTTAATTCTTCATCAACTCCCAATTTTCCATCTGAATTAGCAAATAAATTTTTGGATAAGTTGGCTCCAGCTTCAGCTCCTAATTTAATGACTTGCTCTGTTCCTTCTTTTTCCTCCGGAGACCACCCTGTCCTTAATTCTCCCTTTTCTTTAAACGAATTGAAAGGTGTGCTTTCTCTCGTTAAGGATTCATCTCCAGGTGAAGACGGCATCCCATATTCATTTTTCATAAATTGTAACGACAGGACCCTTAAATACTTTTTGGATATAGTAAACTCAGTTATGTTGTCAGGTAACATCCCTAAATCATGGAAATATCAATCTATAATACCAATCTTAAAACCTGGCAAGTTAGCGTCGGATGCTTCCTCTTTTCGTCCTATAGCTCTTTCATCCGTACTTTTAAAGTTAGCTGAACACTTGGTTAAAAACCGTTTGGAATGGTTTGTTGAAAGCAATGGTTTGTTGGCGTCAAGCCAATTTGGATTTAGAAAAGGTAAAAGCACATTTGATAATATTAGTATATTTGTGATGGATATCCGTTTGGCTTTTACAAATAATGAATCTGTTTTATCGGCTTTTTTGGATATCAGTGCAGCATATGATAATGTCTTAATTTCTCTGCTTCAAAAGAAATTATATGATTTACGAATTCCCGTAATGTTATCTTCTTTTATCATAAATATGTTGTCTGAAAGATATATCAATTTACATCTTCAGGATGGCGCTAAGTTAACTCGTTATGTATGGAAGGGTCTTCCCCAAGGCTCTGTTCTTAGCCCTATTCTTTATAATATATATACACATGACTTAGAGTCCTCACTTAATAATTCTGTTAAAATTCTTCAATACGCTGACGATCTTTTGCTGTACAATGTAAACGGTTGTGTTCAAAAAGCATCTTACTCAATGACACAGTCTCTTCAACATTTGAAACGTTGGCTAGATACAAATGGCCTTGAACTTTCCATTCCCAAAAGCACTGTTGTCTTATTTTCTAGAAAACGTAATCCACCAATACCTAATGTGGTTTATAATAATATTCCTCTTTCCTTTGTACCTCAAACTAAATTTTTGGGGGTTATTTTAGATTCCAAGCTTACTGGTATTCCACACTCAGATTACATCGTAGCTAAATGTGAGAAAAACCTGAATATTATCAAATGTTTAACGGGTGTTTGGTGGGGAGCACATTCTTTTTGTTTGAAATTATTATATAATTCACTTATTAGGAGTCTTTTTGATTATGCATCTTTTATTCTTGACCCATGTTACTCATCGGCATTTAAAAAAATTGATAGAGTGCAATCTAAAGCTTTAAGAATTATTCTGGGAGCAATGAAGTCGAGTCCTATCAATGCGTTGCAAGTCGAGTGTGTGGAACCTCCTCTTCAATTGAGACGTCAATACTTATCCGATAAATATCTGCTCCGTTGCGTGCAATTTACAAAACATCCTCTTTTGTTACGACTTCGACGCCTCTCAACTGACGCATCAACATCTCCTTATTGGACTCATAAGTCTCTTCCTTGTCTGGTTATTAGTTTTCGTAAGTGTTTGTCTTTGCAAACTCCAATTCATAACTCCCTTTGTTTGCCTCTTTTCTCTACTAAATACGAGGCTTTAGTTTTATCTCTGGACATCCGTTTGTCTTTAGGTATCAATAAGAATTCTATTGAAAACTCCCATACTTTCAATTTCATTAGAGACAGGGACTTCCAATCGTGGCACTGCATTTTTAGTGATGCCTCTAAGCATGGCAGCGACAGTGTTGTTGGCGTTGGTGTGTATCATCAACAATATAACATTGTTCAAAAAAATTAAATTGCCTCCAGAAACTTCTGTTTTTACTGGAGAGTGTTTCGGTTTATACAAGTCAGTCGAGTACGTTCTCTTAGCTAAGCTAAGAAATACTGTAATATTTTCCGACTCTATGAGTGCTCTTCAGGCACTGTCTAGATTTCCTTTTAAAACGCGAATGCTTTGTCCAATTATACTCGAAATTAGAAATTTGTTGTTAGCTTGCTCTTCGAAAGGCTTGT